TCCTAGAGGCCATATACTTTCTGATATATAGGAACTGGAAAAGTGAAAGCTATACTTGCTTCAACAGTCAGTCACTGCTATCTCTGCATTTAAGTTAAAATCTGTAACTCCCAGACTGACAATGCTGTTGCTTTAAAAACCAGAATACACATTAAAGGAACTTCAAAATACACCATAGCTTCTTTAAATGACAGAAAATTTCTAAATGAAAGATTTTCATTTAGAAACATAGCTATAACAAGTTTCTCTCTTAAACGATAACAGACCCAATGCTACAAGAATGGTGAAGCTGAAAAATACATACTTGTAAACTGTGACAGTTAGTATAATAATCCATAGTAAAAATAAGTTAATAAAAATTAGCATGTTATAGAAACAGGAAATACTGATAAATAATCAGCAGGTGCAAAAGGAGTACAAAGGAATATGAATATAACACAGGATCCATTTTTTTTAAGGAATCCCTGTGCTTTTCCTTTTTGTGTCTATAGTTTTGCCAGCCAACATTTTTAGATGTAGATAGTTCCTTTTTTTTTTTTTCCCCCCTTTAGGGAACTAAAGCATTTTTCATGGAATAAAAATATCCTTATCTCTTAAAAAGTCCTTTAATTTTTAAAATGAAATATTTTTAAAGCTTTGAAATATTTGCTTAAGTAGATCTTATTTTTGATTTCTCATCATAATTAGAAATGTAAGCACTGAATAGCTGGAGTGAGAGTGCCTGTTCATTTGATATTTACAGCCTACTATTGCAGTCTCAGAAATTAAGATGCTCATCTGAACTCTAAACCTTTTAAATACATGTTTTTGTCCTCTAATACGCAAGGAACTTTCTCTGAAAATACCAGATCACACAAACAGTGTGCATGATTAGCACTGAAGTCCCTCTATAATGAGCAGTAATCTAGGAGAATTGTCTGACAGTAATCCCCGTTCCTCACCACAAGTCTTCTGCATAGCCATTAGGTTATTATAGTATCATAGAGTTAAGCAATTAAAATAAAAATGAAACTCATACTATCTGACATTTTCAAATTGTGTTTTTGATGGGCAGTATGAAAACAGACAATATGAAAACAAGAATAGTGAAAGAGGAATTTTGTTCTCCTCCCATTTCAATTACCTTCACCTTTATTTCTCAGTATTCTGCTCAAATATCAAAAGATTTAATGTAATAAAGGAAGGACTGACAAGACTGTCTCTTAAGTCTTATTGAATAAAACGTTCACTAAAAATGCTTCTTAGCATCAGTAGTTTAGCATTAAAAGTATAATGGTTTTAAAGCCAGCCTAAACACCTTTCAGACAACAAACAGCTCCAGATTTTAAAATTAAGATTTGAGATAAAGTTGCAACTGAAGTTATCAAAGGAAATGTACCCAGCAGTTGCCTAATGCACACTCTCATGACAATGCTATTCATCTACCACAAAATCACCTGCATCAGTGATCCAGCATAATGATGCTGGAACACATTATATAGAGTAGAAGGTCTTATCGTGTTGTCAGTCACAACAGCCAGGCTTCTTGCCCTTCTGCTTTAAACAAAAAGTGCCCCTTTCCAATTTCTCTAGTTACCTGTTTCTCTGAGCCTTGAAGTTACAGTGGTTTTCAATCAGTTAATTAAAACACCAAATGGCAAAATGGCCTATAAAAGCTCTTTTGTTTGTTTGTTTGTTTTCAGCAATAACAATGCTAAATACCAAAAATATTGAGCACTTGCATTTTAGTTAAGCTATTCTGGGTAAAGTTCTCAAAACTACACATATGTGGTGAAGCCTAACATAACAGTATAAATGGCAGGTGGTTATTTGGACATATCTGCTTCCTAAATGGGGTTTTGTACACCAGCCTTGTAAAGCTGTGAACTCAGTACAAGCTGCAGTTGACTTTCATTGGGGAACAAGTGCAGTGTGTTTGCATTTGTGTGTGTGTGTGTTTATGTACGATACAAAGTCTCTTGCATGACTTTAATAGCATTTTCCAGCTTCCCAAGAGCCACAACCCCAAGGAACATTATCTCCTTCCCCCTTGGATGTCGTCAGATGAGCCTCAACTGTGTTCTTTACAGGTACAGAATCCTTTATGTGTGTTTTACATAGTATGTTAGATTACTTCAGCTTCCTATTAAAATTTTTCCCAATTGAATAGAGGAATACACTGATTTTTATGCTATATCCAGACACTTAAAATGCAGGCTATTATGTGGGCTCTTTGCCATTATTTATTGCTCAGGTAGCATTCTCAAAACAAGGGGTATCAAAGTCACTGGAATGACAATGTAGGTCTCCTCATCACTTTATTTGCTATAGATTTCTCTTGAAAAACTTATCTTGCAGGGAATCATTTTTCCTCTGTTTTTCAAAAAGGGATATCAGTTAAACTTGGAAGCTTGAATGTAGCTTTCGAAGATTTAGCGTTTAAGAACGCTAAATTGAGTTCAGTCATCTCATCAGGCAACACCAATCAAAAGTGTCTGCTGTTTGGTTTATTGACAGCAAAGGTTCAAGATAAAGTAAGCAGAACATTGTTTAAGTTGATAGGTATGCATTTAGATTTAAAATTCTTTTAAAGCTTTTAAAGAAAAAGACCTCATGCTCTTGCATGCTCTTAAAAGCTCTAGTGTCAGGTAATTATCCAAAAGTTGGGCTGTTTCTTATTCAAAGATGTTTCTGGTCTCATTATCCTTTTGCAGGCAACTCCCATCCTGAACTCTGCTTCTGTGGCTAGCATGAGTTTGAATGAGACATTGAGATTTCCAGGAGGCTCATTGTTACATATTTTGCTTTGCTATATCTTCCATTCCACTCCTCTTTAATGTGGCAAACCTACTGCCAGTTTTCTTTTGTTCCAGAAATCTAGTTGTTCTTTTTTTAAGAGAACAAAAATAGAGAGGGGAAAAAAGCTGTGTCTCAAATGAAATGAATATTTGTATTTCAGGGAAAATTTCCTTGAAAAAGTTCCTTGAAAAACTGCAATAAAATAAAACCTGAGATGTGTTCTGGGTAGAGTGTGGTATATAAATAATTTGACTGAATCTGTTTTAATCAAATCCATTAACAAGAATATAACTCACTTGACTTTTACATTGGTATAAAAGAGCAGGCAAGTTAACTAGATGCTGGGTATATTTAAATTATAATTTATCCTGGCAGAAGATCATACTGTGAAATAATTTTTCCAGAGATCCCTGTCCCTGCCTTCTAACAACCTGCTGTTTCTTGCCACTGTCATCATTAGAAACTTCCTATAGGTAAAATGTACCAAATAGACGAGACGTTAGCCAAGATACAGGCGCAAGGCCCTACAGTAAATGCTTCCTGTTATGGAGAATCCTTGGCACATAGACAGATGCAACAAACTTCATGCAGTGCACCACTCATCCTTAGGAAAACTCTACAGATAAAATGAAACAACCCCTATGCACACAGTGAATTTATTCAAACATGTGAGAAAAGACAAAAACTGTAGTTATGAGAATACAACTCCATCTCTAACCTTAAAGTCCTCCTCCATAGCTGGAAGATGAGCCTGGGAAAATCTTTAACCACTGTTGGATACAAATCATGTATTCAATAGGTATTGTTTTACGGCATATTGCAGTTTTCTCCATCAGAAACCTTCGCTGTTCCAAGGACAATAATTAATTGGTTTATCTCTGTAGCTTATCCCACTGGAGCTAATCAGCTCCCTCCTTGCTAAGGTTCCCTTCTTCTCTGAAGGTGCTTCTTGTTTCAAATTTTATAAATGAGTAGCATAATTAATTTAAATGTGGAGATTTGTTTCCAAGCTGAAGCCTGTATTTCTTTTTCAGGCCTTGCTAGTGTTGCATGCCTAAAACCACGTCTGTTCTTTTGTCTGCTCTATAATTTTGTCTAACAAAAAATACTACCTCTCCCTACAAATTGAGGCTTACTTAGAAAATTCTTTAATGAATTCCCATTATCCTTCCTACCTTACATATTTCTCTCTCTACTTCTAGTTTTACATATTTTGATTGCTTTGCTTTACTTTTATTAGACTCTGGGCTCTTAAGTTCAGGGATGTAACCTAAATGTGATCGGATCTCATTTGACAAGCTACTGGCGGGTAATACAGGATATAAGTAGTGGAAATAATTTTTCATAAATGCTTATTAATGCAAATATATCTCCAGTATGTAGTTAGAGCATTTTATTTCAAGCTTTTGATTTTGAGCTAGAATTTCTCTTCTTTATATTAGACCTTTCCTCATTCAGCCTGTGAATTTAGGCATTGAAAGTTTTGTTGCTGCCGGAGGGTCAAGGAGAGATGTGCCACCAGCTGAAAGTCAAGCTGATTGTTTTTCGTTACTACTGGCTGTTAATTTGATGAACCTCCATATCAGACTGAAGTAACAGGATATTCATTTAAGCTTCCGGACATCCTTGCCATGTCTGAAAAAATACTGATATTTCTGTTTTCAGGTTTTAGTTTGGAATCTCAAACTCATGGTAGTTTGAAACAAACGATTGTGAGTACCTTATGAGGGAGATGAGAGAGAAAAAGGCTTTACCCTTCACCAGAACATGAATGACAGACCACGTCAACTTCCATAGAAGTAGTAACTTAAAATTAAGCACCTTGAAAACTAGGGTATTTCCATAAAAGTAAAGTTGAGCTTTTCAGAGCAGACTATCCAGTCAACTCTTGTAGCAAGTAAATCACCCTTCTGGGTGAGAATTTTATAATGGGAAATGTTTTGGGAGTGCTATTGGCAACTTAGTGCCATCTTCAAGTGTAAAGCACCTGCTATAGAAATGACTCTATTAGGGTCAGTTGTACAAAGGATAAATCTGCACATAGCTGTGTTTTTTAAACTTGTTAATTTCATGAAATATACTTCTCTAACAATGCTCATGTTATTACTCCAGTAACAGATTACATCCAATCACTTGAGGATTTTAAAACTAGTCAGGACGAACGTCAGAAAAAGTAATTTGATCATGTGTTTACAGTCAGCAGTACTGAGTAAGGCATTTACCAGTCTAGAGTCTTTTGGATCACCACTTTCACCATTTGGTCCTGAATTTGCTAGGAAAGATGCCAAGCCATCCCATAGTCTTCCCACAGTTGTGCCAGTGAAGCCTGCGGTCTCTGTCAATCTTTGAGGTGAAGTAGCTGCTTTCCTTCTTCCAGTTTTGCAGGATGGTGTGAAATGAGGATATGGCTAGGTTGTTAACCGTTTTTACTTTCAAACTTCTAAAGTGTCATTGTTTTTCAGAATACAAAACTCAAGACTATTGTTATGCTTGCCTTTTGCTGAAGGTTACAAAGCTTGGAGAATTGTGGAAGCTTTAGGGTACGTTTAATGTTTCTCAGACAGACCTGGACTTTCTCTGTTCTCCATGGCCAATCACAACCATGTGGCTGCACCACAGAGGGTGACAAGGAAAGCTTGTGTCTGCCAGCAAAATGCCTTTTTTCTTATCCAGTTGAGGATTTAGCCTTACTGTGACCTGCTTTACTGCTCTGATTATATCTGAGGAAAATGGGTCTAAATTCTGCATGTATTATCTAAAGCACTTTGTTTGTTTCACGTTAATATTGGAGCTTTACTTATCAACTGTTTATAATCCTCTACAAACATGGTTTAATAGAAAACATAGGGAAGAGAATAAAGTAATCTAAATCTCCATGTAGATTTGCATCAGTGATGCAGTATAGGCAAAGAACAAATCCCCAAAAGCTGTGGATCTGCCATCACAGGGCTTGTCCTGCGTGTGCAGGAGCAGCAGTAGCCATCAGGCCTGCCCCTGCCCTCTCTGACACCACTTGTGACTCATGGAACAGAAACTACCATTGCTTGGAGCCCCTTCTAAAGCTCCATTTCCAAAGGGGTATTCAGCCTCCAGTGACTGAGAAGTACAGTGGGTCAAACTGCTTTTTCCTTGCTCTTCCTTGCTTGATGTCGGCACCCCTTGTCAAAGAGCAGCAGCTAAGTAGATGCCTGTGTAGGAAAGGGAGAGGGATGTTCTCTGAGTGGCTTTTTTTCAGATTTTCTGTCACTGAAGTCTGACAGAGATTTCATTATTTATAATTATTGTAATTTTGTGTTGCCAGCTTGTAATGCAAAATGCTTATGCAGATATTTTTATACATTTACTGTATTGTCTAACAGTTGGAGGCTTTGTAAAGATGGAACTTGTGAATTCTGGTTGATTTTATGAAACTGTTGTATCATGAATGTTTTGCTATAGTTGCAATCTGTGTGCTGTTAAGGTAGTGTTGCGTATCTCCCCGGAGCAGGATCAAGGGATGGCCGTTAAAGCAGTGATGGCTGACTTTAGAGAAAAGTGAAATGGCTGCAGTTCTGGGCATGCTCTTCAAAATATGGTGGGAATTTCTGCCTGCAGGAGCAGAGGAGGGGGAG